TCCTCAGCTCTTGAGTCAAAGAGTATGTTGCTGAAGTACAGAGATGTTCTGCAGTTTTGTTTCCTCCTGCAGCCTGTGTTTAGGCATTGGAAGGCAAAGTTTCTTGGTGGATAGAAACCTTCATGGTTTGTGGGGTTTTTTTGGTGTTTTTTGTTTGTTTGTTTTTACTTTTTGGTATTGATATTTAATCAACTTTTCAGTGTCTTGTGTGCTTGCCTTTTGGTAAAGGTGTACCTATGCAACAGCACTGCTCTTTCAACAATTTTGCTTATCTTTGGTGATACCCGTGTATGCACAGTCCTGCCCTGTAAAGGGATTGCGAAGAACTTCTATAGTATGTTATGTTCCTTGCAGGGCAGGATAAAAAATTATTCTTGTTTTATGAGGCAGTGTGGCTTTTAACTTTTTTCTTTTTAGCATCACTATGTTAACATTACCATTAACATGACTCATTTTAATGTGTAATTTTAACATTGCCACATTAATGGCTGACTTATCATTGTTCAGCCTGTAGTCCGTTTTTAAAGCTAAGCGTGTGCCCGTTTTCAAAGCTAAGCGTGTGCCCGTTTTCAAAGCTAAGCGTGTGCCCGTTTTCAAAGGAAAACCTGGGTGACTAGATGAAAATGTCCCACTAATTTGGATTTAGTTTCTAAAGTTTGATCATGGAAAACGTTGGTTTAATCAGTATGTGAAAGTACTTTTGCTCATTTTGTCTTTTTCTTGACAGTTTTCTCTAATTTCCAATTCATATAATTATTTTTTTCTGAGTTTAGTGTTGTCATCATTTTGTTCCTCTAGAGATTGATCTTGTGTGATTATGGAGGAGGAGACGGTAGTCAGGATGTGCAGCTTCTAACAGATGTTCCTTCTGATGCATTTGGTGTGATGAAAGACAAATGGGGACATCAAACCCAGCAAGGAAGGCAGGGCAGTCTGGCAAGACTCTTCTAGTTTTTGCAGAGTTTCAGGAAAGAGGATGGAAAAATCCTGCAATACCATTAGATCAAACCTGCCTCCATAAATCAATCTAAGGAGACTGGCATTTGTGGGGGTTTTTTCTCCTATAAAGTAAGCTAAAAGTTTTTGCCATAACTGCAGAGAAGCAATAAAAGGCTAGTGAAGGCAAAGGTTGTAAACAAATGATTCAGTGCCAACAGAGGGTCCATAGCTGCTGACAAGAAACAAATAAAAGTGAATAAGGCCGGTACTCTGTTCTGATAAATTTCATTGATTTCTGCACTGTGTCATTAAGGTTGTAGCCTGCCCTGTTATCTTGTAGCTCCAAACCTTTCATTATGGCTTCAGATGATAACAGCTGTTGATAGAGTGCAGGAGGTTGCAGTGACTACCATGAGGGTAAAGTACCATTTGCTAAGAAATAATTAGGAAAAAACCTCATGGCTTGATAGCTTTGATCTGCCTGTGTTGCCATCCTTGCAGAGGACATTATATACCAATACTGCATCTGTTTCCTGGATAAGCTTATGAAGCCTTTATTGAGAGCACACATGCTCTGTAAAGCAGTATAACCAGTGTCAGCACAAGCGGTGTGCTGCTGCACTGTGCCTGGACTTCATCACACCGTCCAGTTATAGAATCGTAAAATGGTTTGGGTTGGAAGGGACCTTAAAGATCATCTAGTTCCCGTCCCCCTGCCATGGGCAGGGACACTTTCCAGCAGACCAGGTTGCTCAAAGCCCCATCCACCCTGGCCCTGAACGCTGCCAGGGAGCGGGCAACCACAGCTTCTCTGGTCAACCTGCTCCAGTGTCTCACCACCCTCATAGTAAAGAACTTCTTCCTTATACCTGATCTAAATCGCCCCTCTTTCAGTTTGAAACCATTACCCCTTGTTGTATCACTACACTCCCTGACCAAGAGTCCCTCCCCACCTTCCCTGCAGGCCCCCTTTAAGTACTGGAAGGCCACTCTAAGATCTCCCCGGAGCCTTCTCTTCTCCAGGCTGAACAACCCCAACTCCCTCAGCTTGTCCTTGTAGGGGAGGTGCTCCAGTCCCCTGATCATCTTTGTGGCCCTCCTCTGGACCCTCTTGAGCACATCCACATCTGTCTGGTGTTGGGGTCCCCAGAGCTGAAGGCAGTACTGTAGGTGGGGTCTCATGAGGACAGAGTAGAGGGGGAGAATCACCTTCCTCGACCTGCTGGCCTGACTGCTTTTGGTGCAGCCCAGGATGCAATTGGCTTTCTGGGCTGCGAGTGCGCGTTGATGACTCGTACTCAGTTTTTCATCCACCAGCACCCCCAAGTCCTTCTTCACTGTCCACCTCTTTCACATAAAGATGGATAACTGAAGCTTTTTGCTGCTGTAACTACCCTACTGTCAGTGCCACGTTAGGCAGTTTGTGTCTAGCTCAGGTATCTGCTCGTACATGTAACGGCAATGTAAACATGTCTGTAGCTGTCAGACTTGAACAAGCCTCAAGTCAGCAACATTAACAAAACCAGAAAGCTAAAACATGAAAGCAGTCCCTAAATCCTGTGTGATTTTGTAACAGTATGAGGTGAGGTACCTCTGAATCCGAAGTGTTTTAGGCAAATAACTGTGTCCTTTTACTCTAGATAAGCACAAACCCAACCATTAGTTTCTGGTTTGTTTCTGATCTGATGCTGGGAGGAGGAGGCCTGAAGCACAGTCTTAAGGAACTTTTAGCAAAAGAGAGCACAGGCTGTGGATGTGTGGTATAACCTGATACTGGCATATGCTATGGGAACGCTGGAAAACTGCCAAAGCACCTGCAGGCTGCTGCTTGGCAGGAGCATGAGGAAGTACTTGGTTCCCTCTTTCTTACTAAGGGTTGATAAAACACTGAGAAGAATATGCATATGTGGAGGAAAACTGGGATAAGATGACAAAAGGACCGTAAACTAGGTCATGCTTGTAACACTGTCTACAATACTGGAAATAACTGTGGACTGTTATTTTGAAGAAACCCAAGCTCCAGCTATGCTGAGATGAATGAATCTGAAAGGAACTTCTCTTTCTTTAATAAATATGCTGTATGGAGTTACTTATAAGATTTCCAGTCCTCTGCAACCCATCCAGTCATACCAGCTCGGGATGCTGCAGTGTTCCTGCAGTGCTAAAAATGTTTTCAGAGGATCACAATTCCACTGGAGCTTTTCTGTTCTTTGCTTTTATATGCAGATTTGTATTAGAGGGCAGAAAAGGTTATTTATTTGTGGCCCTCACTGGAGCAGCCCTGAATCTATCATCTATTTCTGTCTTTGACCTAGCTCATTGCATGCTGCAGTCCTGTCTGCCTTGCCACCCTGAACCTTTTACTCTTCTGCAGCTTCTGAGTATAAATAAAAAGCCAAGGACAAATTAATGAAGTCCCAGGGATGTGGTTCCAATGACTTTCTGCACAAATATATTTCAAAGACAGGCTTGGACTATGAGGCTGCTGCCAGCTAGGAGAGAAGGTAGAGTACAGGTCAGATGCCATCACAGAAGAGATGAGATGGCTCTCCAGAGACCTGCCTGCTTGCCTCCCACTGCTGCTTATTGCTTTTCTTAAAGACACTGAACTTGCCTTGGAATAGGCTTGCTTGCTTTCCCTTGGCAAAAAAGACTGTTTTGGGGGTGATGAGGGGGTACCTTTAACTGGAGGTGTTGAGTGTGGATTATTGAGCGTTAGGATAGGGGTAGGGGACAGGAAAGCCTACTGGTACCTAAAACTGAATCTTGGTTAACACCCGTGACTCTACTGACACTGTTTCAGTTGGAAAGAAGGATATAAGGATGGAGACTCAAGCACTACAATTCTTAACTTTCCTTATGAAAGCATCTAAAATCCAGAAGTCAGATCCATGGTTGATCGAAACTCGTTGTCTTCATGGGATTTGCACAGAGAATAAATCTTGGCCAATGTATATGTTCTACAATACTTTTCTTTTTGTGACTCTAGAACGCTGTTATATCTTAGAAGTATTTGTGGTCTCAATGTTTTGCAGGGCTCCTTCCTCACAGCATTGTGGAGAGCTGTGTTGCTTTTGGGAGATTGCCACACCGTGTTGTCTAGCCCCAGGCTAAGGGATTTTATTTATTTTTATTTCGCATTGTTTCAGCTGTTTTCACTTTTACTTTACTTCCATGGTCCAGCAGAATTTTTTCGTGAATGTGGCAGCACACTGTTTTTCTTGGTTTATGAGTTAAATTAGCTTGCTGGATTTGTTTGTGCTTATCTGAGAAATTTTAATACTGTAGTGGCAACAGAATGAAAGGTGACACTTCAGGAGCTGAGCTCTTATCAAAGCAAGGGAAGAGATGGGGAAGTTGTTCTCCCAGAACACTGCTGATCTGAGCTTTTTCTAGTTGTCTTGCTCTTATTTAATTAAAGTCCCTGGATGAGACACTATCACTCTTGTAAATGTAAAAGGAAATCTTTGCTAGAGTATATAGCAATGCAGTTTGCAATGTAACTGTATATGTGGTTAAGTTGCATGCACGTGTATACACTGAGATCTGTCCTCTACATACTCTGAATTGTTTTCTTAACTATGACTTAAAAGTTGTTTTTTTCTGCAGTGGTTGCTTTTCTGAGCCTGTGTTGCTTATATGCTTTCTGATCTTCATTATATAGGTTTTCTGTTACTAAGGCTGCATTAAATTACATTCTTCATCTCTTATTTTTACATTTTTTTTGTCTTTGAACTAGTTAAATGATGAATTAAACTGTCATTGTGAATGAAATCAGAATACATTTTTATATCAGTAGCAAGAGAAATGTTGGCTGTCCCATCTAAGGGCTATAACTTAGTGTTTGGTCTTTTGGTGTTTTCTTCGTTTCAGTGAACAGGTAAGTACTGTTGTTACCTTTCATAATAGAGTGACTGTTCACAGGGGGGCTACTGAAGGCTTTCCTGTAATAATAAGGTGAAACTGATATGAAGAGACTCATTTTGTGCAATAAAACATAGCTCCATTTACTGATCTGGAAAAGGAGGACATGTCTAAAGGCCTCCTCGTTTCTCTTGTAGGATTACCTCGACTGTATCACTGACCAGACCAAGCTCTCCCTGGGGACAGAAGAGCGATCAGCCCTATTTGGAAACATACGGGATATCTACCGTTTCAACAGGTAAATTCATATTTAACTAAGTGAAAACAGTTCAATAGCCAGTGTTAATGGGGAGGGAGCAAGCCAAGCAAATACTTCTTTATCACTGTAATACAGCCAAGGTATACGGATTGAGAAATAGTCTATCTTTCATTCACAGCAGGGTTGGTTTGCTGAGATCAGATTTTTTTTTTAGCTGTTTATTTTATGAATCTCATATGGTCTGCATTTACTTTTTTGTTTTCATGTTGGTTATTTCCGTGAATTTAAGGCTAACCTGCACTGTGCCCTAACTGAGCCTAGTGCAAGACCACTGTGAATGAAATTCTTGCCTTACTAGAGAGATGTTGTTTTATTCCTACTATATTGGGTCCTTTTGTGTACTGATGTACATCACCAAGATCTGGCTTTTGTAGTATTTTATACTACTAGAGACTCCCTGAATTATTGTCTCGAAACTGTATTCAGGTATCTTTCCATCTATTGAAGGCTTCTGTTCAGCATCTTTACAGCCTTCTCTAAACTCCACAGAAGGGATTCTAGTGTGTACTGGAAGCCTGAAGTAAAATTTCTTGCTAGTGTCACACTGTATGTGACCTGCACTATCTGCAGTTTCAGGAGCATGCTACTGCTACTTTTGTCTGAATCCTCTGTTACTATAAAAGTAATGAATTTATTCAGCATTTAAGGAAAACACGAATATTCATTTGATGCAAGAAATGTATTGGCATAAAGTTCCTCCATCTTTTATACCCCATTGCTTCAGTAAAAGCTCTCTTAGCTTTGCTATAGTTGACAAAACATCTCCGAAACTACTGTGTCCTTTGAAGAAGAACAGATAGTTTAATTGAATCAAAAGGGAATTCTGAAGTGGAGGACTAGTGTCAAAGAGCATCTTCAATGTTTTTCCATCATCATGGGAAGCTGTTTTAAAGTGCTTCAACTGCTGGGATTGCTTCAGTATCAAAGGGAAGAGTGGGGACAGATCTATTCAGAACTTATGGACAAAGATGAAACAAAATATTTTTCTGAAATTAAAACAACTACTACAGAGCAATGGAAATATACTTAACTAGAAAGCTGCTATGTCCTTTTCAGCTACGACTGACTTGATTGAATGTCTGACGCGACGGAAAATACATAGTGGTAGCCTGATGATGTGTTTTAGAGCCGTGAGGCAATGATTCTGAGCCTACAGCTTCCCAGTGGTCACAGGATGGAAAAAACGAGTCCTGACCATTATATTTTCTGATCCTTGAAAAGCTAGAGAAATGGCAGACTTGGTAGCTAGGACACATTTATACCAGCATCATTGCAAATATTACCTAATAATAAAAATTCCTTCAAGTATGATCAGTCATTATACAGAATGATTTATTTGCAAAAAAAAAAAAAAAAGATTTACAGACATTAAAAAGAAAGAAAAGAGAAGTAAAGAAAAAAAGCAGTTCAGGGCAATTTTAGAGATAGATGTGTTACAATGGTTAAAACTCACTGGAAAGTGTTCCAAAGCCTCTAGTAAATTACCAGAGTATTTCAGGCCTCATTTAAAATTCTGCGTGGAAATTGTGAGCTTTTAAGACTGAACACTCATTGTAGATCCCAATATAGCTTCAAGGATTAAGTTCCCTCCTGTAATGAAACTTGGCATGTAGCTTTTGGGTCCAAAACATACTCTGGAGCCTTTTTATTTATTTTTACTTTTGAAAAAGGTCCATTTGGCAGTTCTGCATTGGTAGTTTGAGACGTGTTTTGTGAGCGTGATTTTATAGTTTCAGAATTACTTTGTTTTTCTCAACTTCGAATTTGACTATTAATCAGTGATCAAAGATTTTAATCTTGGGCTTTTTTTGCACTCTGTATAGATCTGAGAAATTTCAGTAAGTTGGAATTTCTCTCAGATAAACTACTTACAATTTTTAGGTGTTGTGTTGAGTGGCAGAAATGACAGTCAGGATGGTAACTGCTAGTCCTGTGACTATGATCTCTTTTTGGAAAGCTATTTCTTAAAGCAGAATCACTGCCTATATACTGGTCCACTGGTCCTGCTCCATCTCTTGGGAAAAGCTCTCCCAGTATTAGTTTGTTTATTCAGAAGGGGGAAGTGTTCTCAAAGTCAGCATTTGCTGCCTTTCTTCCCTGGTCTCTCCCGTTGAGATTCTTTTCAGTGTCAGTTTAGGATAAATTCTCCATCCAATACCATGTCTCGATTCTGGAATGGGAACTCTGCAGAGAAATGTGCTCAAGTTTAGTACTTCTGTCAACACTCAGATGATCTTAGGAAAGGCCAAACCGAAACCTCTGCTGCTGACACAGATCATCCTGCATGGTCCTTGTCCATTGGTGACTACCGAAGCACACAAATACAGTGCAGGGCCATTTTCTGTAACTGCCATATTCAGCAGTTCCTGTGCTCAGAGTTTCATGGTGGTAAGGGCTGGCTTGTTGCCAGGAGGAGTTTTCATAAAACCTGTAAAGAGTTGTTTGGGTTTTTTTCTGAGTGGAAAGAAATTAGTCTTGGTCACAGGATTTTTGTGACAGTGAAGTTATATCAACGCTAAATTTCTCTTGATTGTTTCTTTTTTGTTTGTTTTTACTGAAAATCTGAACTTTTCAGATTAATTTTCCAGAACTTTATATGGTGAATATATTCTACCATGAAGACCAGATTGTGCCCGCTATGTCCATTTTTGTTTTGAATGCTGTGCTCTGTCAGGCATTGAGATAATTTTTTTGTACATGCTGTTACTTTAGAATTTATGGCTAGACGGCACAGTACTTGGTCATCAACTGCTTTTTTTTGTCATAGGTTCAGGACAAGACTTGCTGTTTCCTTCTTGCGTCTTTCCATTCCTTCCGTTCCACCAAAATTACCTGTCTGATGTCCCTGTCATTACCATCTCTTGCTTGCTCCAATTCAGATCAAAACAGAGGAGAAGAATACTTGTGTCTTGTTTTAAAATGGTGTGGTGATGATACAAAATGAATAAAATAAAAACTGCCTTGCGTGAATTGTGTGTGCAAATATGGTGATTATTTGCAGACCTATAAGCCTATTTATCTCACTCCTCTTGACCTCCTGTAGTCAACAACTTGATACTAAATTGCACTTTGTCCTGTTGAAAGTCTTCACCCACGGGGTGGGGGGTAACATGTATTGTCTTGAAGATAATTCATACTTAAAAAAAAAAATCAAAGCATCCTAAAAGACATTGTAATGAGACTTCTATTCATTTGACTTAAAAAGATGACAAATGCATTGTGTGAAAAATTATCAGTCTCTTTACGCTTACCTCTCTCATCCCAAAGGAGTTAGCTTAAGCTATTGATGAAGGTCGTACAGATTCAGATGTTTCTAGCCCATAATAACCCAAGCTGTATAACTCAGTATGTGGTCTTAAATGGCACTGGCACTTGCGGCATGCTTGAGTCTGAGCCTTTAGTGATTCAGCTGCAACAGCATGGAGTTCTTCTGACAGTGCTCCCTTGTGCTCCCTTCCTGCCTGGGTGGTTGGCACAAGCACATTGCAGAGGCTGAGAGCTGTGAGCAGCATAAAACCTCTGGATATTCAGGTGAAGGGAACTAATGCTTTTCTGTTTTGTTTCTTCTGCCTCCTGCCAGCTATTTAGATGTAGCCTGTAATCATGGCCCTGCTTTTTCACATGTCAGCTTGGTATTATAGGGATTTATTTAAGTTTTTCAGGATTCCTGGGCGTGACAGATTTGTTATGTTTACAGTGGAAGGCTACTCTTGCCAATCCCATTCTTACCAGCCAGGTGAGACAGAAGAGAGTACAGTATAGGTAACAAAATCTTTCAAAGCATAGCTCTTACACCATGGGCTTGTGCTGAAGGCACAAGCAACTAGCATATTTAATGCATAAACTTGGACTCATTGCATGATTATATAAAATCTTTAAGCATTGCATTACTGTATCCTGTAGAAGAAATGGTATTATAGGAGACCAGTAGGAATAAAATGGCAATCAAGGTGCTCTAAGCCATCAGGAGACCATATACCTGCCAGACAGCAGAAATCCTCTGAGCCTGTTCAGTGTGTTTGATGCTACTTCCAAAACTCATGTGTGGAACACGGCCATTATAACTAATGGTTATGGCCACCATTGCTACAGCTTGCCTCTTTTGCTCATGTAAAGGAGCTTCGTGAGTGCAGGGTATCAAGCAAGGGTATATTTTTATCCCCATTTTGATGGAGAAATTGAGGTGTGGAGGTTAAATTGTTGCTGTACAGAGTGGCTTAGTGACCGCTGAACCTGAGGTCTTTGTCTCTGTTGCTTGTGACTGACTGCTGATTTCTTCCCTTCCTTCCTCCAGTAATTAGAAAAGCAAAGAACAAGTCAGGAAACTTTTCTGGGGAATTTGTGTCTGCTTGGAGGGGAAAAGGGTAGTTCCCTAGATACAGGCTTAGCAACTCTTATGCAAAGTTCATTCAGGGAACCAGCTGTGAACTGGGAAACAAGTAGCCCTAAACGGAAAATCATCTGATGAGAAGGGGTGGGGGGAGGCGGGGAGAAAAAAAGTTCTGTCAGAAAACAAGTTGGCAGAAAACTTGGTTTCTTCTCTCATTTTTCTGAGTACATCTTTCAGTAAGACTAAAGACTATTTGGATCAAGGAGAGACCTTTGAGGGTTTCTTCTTCTGCTTGAACTCTTTCTTTCACTGAATTGGCTTTCGAGAACTGAGTTTCATACAACAGTGAACATGCTCCCTTATTGCTTTGCTCCTGTTACAATGAATTCATTTCCTGTTTGGCATGTGAAAATTATAAAATCCTCTCAGTAAGGTTTTATTTTTATGCATGGAGAATTTATACATTCCCTTCCAGAAAACTTTTTCCAGGCTAACCATTTTCCTCAGTGAAGAGACCCACTAAATGTAGACAAATTTTCCTGAGTGAGCTTATTGCCATTCTTCTTGCATGTGCAATACATCCCTGGTTCTCATCTGTGTTTTTCAAACCAGCTCCTCATCTCCCTTAGTCAAGTAAAGCTCCTAGAAAGTATGAAGTCTTTATAGGACAGGACATGTGCTTCAGTATCTTTTACATTTTTAGTTTTAAATTGTGTTAGTTCATATACAAGCTACACAACTGTCTGACTGCACCACTGAGTATTGTAGAAGAGCGATCAATCTGAAGGAAGGGGCTGAGCTTTGCTTAGGACATCAGCAATCCATGGTCACTGTGATGACTTGAATTTTTAAGTATGTGGGAATACCATTTTCTTAGGGTGCTCCTCTGCCTCCAAACAAGAAAAAAACCCCAGTGACTATACATCTAGAGGGAAGAGGGGTATCAAAAGGGTTCTTGTTCCCTTTTTAGGACTCCTGCATAGTAAAGTACTTTGGGCATCACTACTGTGAATGATGAAGTACTGTCTGGCTCTGAACATACAGGTGTGTCTATTCCAAGCTGTGCCATAATTGTCTTTCCTTTTCCTGTTCTTTTTTAAGCGAACTTCTGCAAGATTTGGAAAACTGTGAAAATGATCCTGTGGCTATAGCAGACTGCTTTGTTTCCAAGGTAAGTGGCTACTGCAGGATTCTGCAGTACAATGCCTGTTGCAGGTGATATGGGGGAATAAGATTAATTTATTAGTTTTTGAGACCTGATTTGTGACTTCCACTAAGAAAAGATAGCAAATCTATGGAAAGGGAAGTAATTTCTCTTTGGAGAAAGAGATATGGCTCTGATTTGCATTTAAAAAAAAAAAAAATCAAGAAAAAGGTGTTATTTTCTTCGATAGATGTATCTGAACTGGTGGAACTATTGATCTAGAGTTCATTTGTAGATTTTTTTTTTGTGATGTATTACAGGGATTCATTTTTTTTTCTCCTTCTTTAATATAAGTGATCAAGTGATACTCCAGTTATGCCTTGCCAGCTTAAAAACAACTAGAGAATACAACTTGGCTGCACTTTTAGAAAAGGCAATACCCTTAATACTTGTGGCCATGTTATTTTCCGAGATGCACTTTTTCCTGAATCCAGCAGCCATACCTTTAATTTTCTTTTTAAAGAGGATGGCCCAAAGTCTAACCTTAGCATTCAAATCTCATTCTCTGTGAAATACTTCAAATTTTCTGAACTTTGATCTGACATCTTCGTTCTGTTGGGCAATTCCAATGGCGAAAAGTTGTCAGGTGCAGGAGAAATACAGGGAACCAAAATAGGTGTCTCTCATTCTAGGAAACCCAGAGAGCCAATTGGGGGGAAGGGGAATGGCTATAATGGGTACGACAACAAGAGATGGGCTACCATTTGGGCTACAGATGACTGTGGTTCACTGCAGACTCACCAAAGAACCCACATTTGCCTTGAATCTGTAGAGCCCAAGTGTGTTAAGAAGTAATGCATTTTGTATTGTATTGTAATATACAAAACATTGCATTTCTGAGGGAAGAGGAATGGAAGAGGGTCATGTAGTTGTTTAAATTTGGATAATCTCTCTATAGCTGTGTGTCTTTTTTAAAACAAACAAACAAACCAAAACCAAAAATACCCCCATAAAACTGTCATATTTTGCTTTGCCATGAAATCAGTATTGCCAGCACGAAGTATTCAATGGAACAGATCTAACACGAGGATTTAGGATTAGCTGGACCGCTCTGTTTTGTTTGGCACTGTTGTGACAGAAGGGATTTTATTGGAAAGGGGAGTGATGATACCAGCTTAGTGCTGCCGTTTCACTGGATCACTTGCTTGAGCTGAGTTTGAGAAAGCTGTTATTTATCTACTAATCAATCTTTTGTAAGCACTGAGAGATCTTAGCGTTTGTACTACTACTACAAAAGTAGGATGTATTCTTGCCCCATTGCAGCAGGGTTTATGGAGTGTTGTTATCACTCCAAATAGCTTATACTGAATTGAAGGAGAGAGAATGGGGTAAGGGCAAGCGCAAAGTCCTGCTTCTGGAACGGAATAACCTCATGTCCATGCTGGATCTGGCTGACTAGGAAAGAGCCTAGCAGAAAAGGATCCGGGGTCCTGGCGGACAACAAGTTGAGCACAAGCCAGCAGAGTGCCTGTGCAATGAAGGCCAATTGTGAGGCCTTCAGTGTATTTACAGATAGCACGGTTTGGAGCTGGTAAATCTCTGCTGTATTGCTTGCTTATAGCTGGGACCACTGGGACTACTCCTGGCTGGGACATGAAACAGAGGTGGTACAAGTGATAATAGCAAGTCCAGGAAAAAGTTGCACACTCATTCATATTGGCTAGCCGAAAGGAGGTTTCTGGTAGACTTTCTAGCCATTAGTTCAAAAAAATCCATCTGCATATCATTGCATGTGCTTTTTTTTCCCTTGTCAAATGCTTTTAGCGTTTGTATTACTGGCAGGCAACTGCTGATGGCTCAGAAATTGCTAGAAATTGCAGTCCTAACAAGCATTTTTTTAGCTTCATCCAGACAAGTGTAAACACTTAAAAGCAAAATCAAACGATACTAAAATACCCTACAGTTCTGGTTTTGGCTGTGAAGATGTCATTACAGCAACTGCTGACTGTCTTAACAGACTCCAGCTGTCCATTCTTGGTTGCTTGTATCTTCCCAGCATTGAGTAGTGGAAATAAAAATGCCTTTTTTGGCAGTATGCAGTCCTTCACGTCTTATGGGACTTTGGCCATTTATTGTTTGATTGCTTCGAGTGTACTGAGATCTTTGCTGTGACATAAGCTCCGGGATAATATCATGCTGAAGTCATAGCTCACAGCCTTAGCTAATGGATGTAGCTCAGCTGGAACTTCTTTAATGCTTCCAGTGGAACTGTGCTTAGGTTACATGAGCTCTGACTCTAGTGCTGCTTTTTTTCACCCTACTGTTCAGCTGTGAATACCGTAGTTGTTGGGGATTTAAACATATACTCAAGTTTTCACTGTAGGTGCTGTGTTTACTTTTTGCATTTCATGAAGCTCAATAATTGAATAAAATAATAGCCATTTCTTTCTTCATGATTCGTGGGAAATGGTACTAGTTGGTTTGTATGTGTAACAGAACAGTTAAGGTTAAAGTAACTCTGGAGCTTGTTGGAACTAAAATGCATGGTATTTGTGAAAACATCTAGGGAGTTCATTTTGTAAGATCTAGTTGTGGACCATATTTGATGGACTGTTTCTTTGAACTTGTCTTCATTATTTGGTTCTGCTCAATAAAATTTGCTGTTTAGCATTTTATACTTCCCTCACACAATCATACGTCACCGTGTTTCCTGTGTGTAACTTGCATGCTTGAGTAGTAAACAGCCTTGCAACTTTTACTTTCAAGTGAAATAGAGTAAGGATTATCAAATCAGGTGCACTTTGAACAAAAACTCATAATTGGGGATTTGAGTCTTTATCTTAACATTTGTTGTGCTGAGTGCCCAAAGTAAATAGCTTCTAAAATGGCAGCTTTTATTTGTTAACAGACTTCAGCAAAATGTCTTTAGTATAAACTAGCCAGTAACATAAATCTTGCTAACAGATAAAATAGCCATGCAAATCTATGACTTTATGTAAATAGAAATATTTAATAACAATATACACCATTGTATTAAATCACTCTGCTTCCAGATATTTTGATTAATTAATAACTTACAGGCAAATAGACCCAAATGCAGAAAAGCATGCTTTTTTAAAACCTGCTGTCCGATCATGACCTTTCTGCCCCAAGATGCAGATGATATGGATGGATATTTATTTAAACAGTGTGGGATGGCTGCTGCATGGAAATAACCTGCCACTGAGGGTAGTGGTGTACTAGTTTAGTTTCTGCCAGCTCTGGTCCTGCCTCTTTGTCTAGAGGAACTGTGTTAACTCTAGTATGTTAAAAGTCTTGGAGACATTTTGCTGGTAACTGTAGTTGGAGGCTGATAAAAGGGTTCCAGAGCAAGCTTAGCTATAGCTTAATTATTCACATAAAAGGTTGTTTATAAGTTTTCTTGCCAACTCAGTCTTTAATTTTCATAGTAATGATGCTGATGTTAATTAGAAAATTGAATTTAGTATTCCACACATTTACATTTAAGTGAGTTGTTTTAAAGGAGAGCTTAATTCTGGCATGTCGCTCTTCTCACTCAGCACTGCAGAAATTCAGAACATATGTTTTCTGAAAGACACACCATCAGCTTAACCAAGGGGAAAGGGAGAATTACTCTAATCTAGCATCTCATTAATGAAGAGGAGATCCAGGCAATTGGCTTCAGTTTACACTCTGACTCAGCTCATTTTCTCAGTCTCCATTTTCTTTTAAAGAGCCTTTTATAGCTGTAAAAAAGCACAGTGCACCAAGAGTTGAGAGAAGATTGGGGAGGTAGCCACGTGCTTGGCACTTCTCTTCATGTGGAGGAGATGCACAGTGAATTGATTCAGCAGTGGGGAACAAGCTAAGTATAGCTGGGATCTGCTTGTGCTTGGCTTTGCTCTTTAGAGTGAGTTGTAGCCAGTGCAGATGAAGTCTTGGCTTGGGTCGTGATCTTTGCACCCTCTACCACACCAGCTTTGGGCCCCCAGATTAAGAAAGATCTCTGGAGCAATTCCAGTCTCCCTGCAGAGATAATTTTTAATCTGGTTTGAAGACAGTAGAGGTGAACAACACAACTTTCAAGCTGAGTAAGTTTAAGACTGTCTAAAGAAATACTGATGAGTATAGCTGGTGTTTTGCTTGCTGTGTGAAAGTATTGATAGAAGTATATTTAATCTATTTTAGTCCTGTTTTTTCTGTTACTTCTGAATATAGTTCACAACACTGGCTTTAGCCTGCATGGCTCGTGCCCTGATATACTCCCAGTAACACAGTACTCGCTCTGGGGTATCTGCTGTGAAGCAGAGACCACCAGCTGGGCGTGTGAACTAAAGGTCCCCTCTTCGACTGTGCAGAGGTGCCAGGCAGGCAGTGGGAGAACTACTGAAGAACAGAGTAGTGTGGTTTTCTTACTCAGGCTTGGGAAGAGCCTCTCTTGGAACTGGCTTTCTTGGCTGCTCTCCCTATGTGTTCACGTGAATCCTGCTGATACCTTGGCAAGGTGTGTGATGTTGATTCATACCAGCTTTGTAAGTTTGAATGGTTATCAACAATCTCATTATGGAGGCAAAATACGTATAATTGACTTTCTACTGGCAGTATGCTTGCATAGCTTGGTAAAAGTAACTCTGTGATGGTTTCGTTTGATGAAATGAGCTGTGGTGTAATGAAGTGCGTACACATGTAAGTGCAGTATGAAATTTGGAGTCTTACCTGTTTGGAAAGTAGGGATGATTGTGAAACCATTCTTAAAATTTTTAGAGATGTTGAGGGGATAAGGAACTACTTTTCTTTTTTAAGACAAGTTGTTCCGATAAAAGAATGTCAGTCTAACTATTAAAAACCAAAAATCCCATTGAAAATAGTTTTGACCTTGTATTAAAAAAAAAAAAAAGCCCAAACAACAAACCACACCCCACCCCACCGCCCAAAAAACACAAAACAAAACCCAAAGTGGAAGAGTGTGAAATGGCTCCTGGGGATTTCGGGCTTGCTTTTGATTTTGTGGGGAATGTGCACTCTGAAACTCTGAAATGTTTGGCCTTGTGTGTTTTACAGATAATGCTTTCATTTGTTAAAATCTCACAACAGTTATTCCTTTTTTTGTGGTTTGAAAAGCAGAACAATCATGTGACTATATTCATGACTGGAATATATATACATTTTTTAGAAAAGGGGATAAAATGTTCTGCACTTCTCATATGAAGTTGCTCTGTAAATTGCATGCTTCTGTCATTGTAGCCCTGGGAATATATTACAATTTATACCAAAAAGGCCCTAGATGAAAACCTTGTGTTAATATATGCACGCAGAAAATAAATCACCTTTTTTCATCATAATGAATTTCATTCTAATGCCCTTTCTTAAGCACCCTGACATCTTGTGAGTGCTAGCTAGTTTGGTAGTGATTGCCATAGAAAATTACACATTGCGTAATGTCTGCAGAACTCCGAGGTTTGTTAATTCTTTGTTTGAGCAGAGAGGGGTTGGAGCTGTGGCTGGGGTCCCAAGCGTGGACATGAACAGGCTGTGACACAAGCTTGCTGCCTGTGGGTGTGGACACGGGATATAGGTACAATGCTGTAAAAAACAGCTGTGACAGCAAAATTAGTCTGAACGTGAAAGACCAAGCTCAATCGTTTAACTGTGTTTGTATCAAGACTACTTTTAGTTGGTTGGTTTCTAAGGTAAGAGCAGTTTAGTAAGTTTGCAGCACACTAGTGAGTAGATCACAATCCCTTTGGGGAACATTTGTTAGAGGTTTGTTCAAGTTACTTCTTTTTTTTTTTTTTCAGAACAGTTAATATTGAAATCCGGTAGGAAATACTGAATTGCAGTGACTTGTACTCATGTGGAGTAGCGTCTTACTTTGTACAAGGTCCTTATGAATCACTGCTCAGTGGAGAGAAATGAATGGCACAACCTGCTTTACCCCTGCAAGAGGGAAAGGAAGCAGTGCTGTTGGAAATTGGGAAGGGTGCTGTCTGAGCTGTCTCCTTCTCATGAATGGTTAAAAAAAAAAAACACCCACAAAACCCAAACAAAATAACAAAGAGAAACAAAAGACATAGCCTATGTCACCCCTCTCCCCAAGGTGTAGCTCTTTGGAGCGCTGTTACCTTCTGTGAAGGCAGATAGTTGTCTCACCATTCATCAGTGACAACCCCCAGGAGACTACCCCTTGGGGAGCTCAGCTATTGTCCTACGGTGCCAGAATCTGTTCTGAAGATGCTTCAAGTGGAAACTGGATTCTTGTTTACTACTTTGCTTTTTTTTTTTGGTCTAGGGCTCAGGAAAGACAAAGTAATTGATTTTAGGAGCACTTTGCAGTTCTGTAGTGCTTTGTTAATCTTTAGGACTCCAGCAAGCTGCAGAAATTGCGTATTATTTGAGATAGAAGTTGATGGGCAGATGAGAACTTAAAGCATGTGGGAATGTTTCTGGAAACCTGTTCTTGCGCAGAATTAAATGATGATGATTAAGAAAAAAATCTAAGGCCAAGGACGAAAGAAATGAAACTCGAACTTTTGCTCTGAGAAGCTTGTCAGCATTAAGTGTGGGCAATTTCACTGTGACAGGCAAGTGTGGAAATCTAACTAAATCTAGTTGCAACTTGTTTGGGTAATAACTTTTGGCTTTCATAGAGACATAATTTACTTTAAAAAAAAAAAATCACTTGTGGCTTCTAATTTTCACGCTTAGACTGTGCTCAAACATTAAAGTATTTATAGTTGTTTGAAAATCGCACACTGAACATAACCTGCAAAATTTTCCTCTGCCAGTGCACAGGTATGTGCTTTATCACACACAAAGCAGGATATGTGCAAGTCGGTTGTTTGAAGGGGCGGGGTGGGGGGGGTGGTGGTGGTGGTTTTTGTGGTTTTGTTTTGTTTTTAAGATGCATAGCTTGTCATAAAGGACCTTGGAGGCTCTGTTGCAAAGCTGCTTGCTTTATCTCTGTAGGTTTCCTTGACTTTTCCTTTAAGTAAAGGAAAATTCTCCAAAAAGGAAAAAATGAAATTCAATTAATAGGTCTCTGGTAGTGTTAGGAGTATTCATTGATCAGGAACCAGAGGAGGCATTGTCTTGATGTCATAACCTGTATCTTGCAGCACAAGTTGCTAGTTTGACAAAATCTAAATGTATGTAAATCTTCCTCCCCATGCAGAGTGAAGATTTCCACATATATACGCAGTACTGCACCAACTACCCAAGGTAGGAATGCTGGGTTCCCTTTTTGCATTTGTCCCTTCACCTGTTTATATAATGCATGTTACAGTCTATACAAAAAAAAAGTGCCCTCTCCAAATTGGAGGGAGGATCAAGGAGTTTACCTTTTCTTCTTAACTTAAAATACATTTTTTTAAAAATACTAATCTGAAGTTTTATTTTGACTCTTCTTGTCTTCAATTGCTATTATTATTCTTTAGAAAATGATGGTCTTATTCTGCATTCCTCCAAATATGTGGTTCCCGGTAAGAGAGAATGGTTGCATGTTGAAGGAAATTATAACTGAATTCACATTACTAAAAAAAAACCAAAACCAAAATAAACCCCCAAAAAAACCCCACGGAAAGAACCCCCAAACAAACAAAGAAAAAACCCCACCAAGCAAAGCCAGCAGTGATTGGATCAGGAACCTTCTCCTCCATTTTACCAGGGAAGAAAAAACAGTTCCTGACTTTACCTATGGACTTAGGGAGACAGTGTGTCTTAAAGCTATGTGTTGATGTTTGCAGGTCGGTGGCTGTGTTGACAGAGTGTATGAGGAACAAGGCACTGGCCAAGTTCTTCAGAGAGCGGCAAGAAGCACTGCAGCATTCTTTGCCCCTGGGCTCCTATCTCTTGAAACCTGTCCAGCGCATCCTCAAGTACCACCTGCTTTTGCACGTAAGCACCTCTTAGAAATGTATTTTCTTTAGAGCTGCTGCACGTTGAAGTTCCTGTCTCTGGTACATGGCTTGATGGTTAGAAAGGTTCTGGGTTTCTTTTGATGCTCTTTCTTATGGGGCTGTTTGATTTCTGCATCAAGACTCTTTCTGTCTTCATTATTTCTCAGCATATGCATATATTTGGAGTGGGGAATATGTGGTAATTGTTTTAGACATGTTGAATCAGTCTGTGCATCCAAATAATTAACTTTTTATTAAGAACTAGTCTGTAATTCTGAAGTTGTTTGGAAGAGTCTGGTCATGATTAAACACTTTCGTACACGAATTTATTATTCCAATGAAAAACAGCATTTTTGCACATGTTGCAATGCTGGGGGTGGTTGAAAGGAGGACTAAATACATATAAACACCCAGATTGGTAAAATTTTTGTGGAGAGGAATGACTGAGGAAGTGGGAACTCTTCCCATACTCAGTGAATTGAGTTAAGCGAGTTTCGGAAATTCCTGCTTTATTGTTAACGTTTTCCACATGTGTTTCCTATTAAAGAGTCATGTACTAGAGAAGTGTAAAGACGCTGATCCTTATTTAAAATGTCTGGTGCTTTTCTGCTTTCCAACTGTAAAGTAATGCCTAGTGTAATTCCATCAGGGTTTTGTAAGTGTGTAGATATGTTCTGCATTTTAAGAAAGCCATTAAACACTGTCTGAAAAGGTCTCCTGTCAGCATGCTGCGCTCTCTTTCTGTGCCTCTCTGCTCACATCAGCTGCTGCAAGCATAGTCGCTGCTAAACTGACCGTAAGGGCTCAGCTTTGTTAGTCATCTTGTGTTAATCAAATTGATAACAACATACAATAGGAACAAAGGCAGGAATGTTGCATTTGAGTGATCACAGCGCAAAGACAAAATTGTACAGATAAAAACATAGTATTGTGTCTGGCCAGGAAAATTAATTTAGCAATAACGGGACTTTTTTTTCCCCCACTGTCTTAGGAAATAGAAAACCACCTTGACAAGGACACCGAGGGCTATGATGTGGTGCTGGATGCCATAGATACAATGCAGAGAGTGGCATGGCATATAAATGACATGAAGAGGAAACATGAACATGCCATCAGGCTCCAAGTGAGTTCCCCGAGAGATTTGATGGGTGTTTGTGGGCTGTTTTTGTCAATATATATGCCATTAACATTTTTTAGTTTATCTTTCCTTTTAATTTTCATCAGTCATAATTTAGACTCCTGTTGAGTATGCCTGTGGCTGTTTGATCTTACAAACCATGGTTATAGGTGCTGCGGGAAAATCTCAGACATCTCTACCCTACAAGCAGCATCCTGTAAAGCATTTATTTTTCAGTAATATGGAACTTAAGATAACTTTTCTTTCTTCCTGTCTCTCAATTGTACGGCACTGCTGTACAACCCTAGGGCATGGCTTTGTTGAGAAATCCCGTGGTTTCCGATTTCTCCCCTTTGTGCTGATTAATTTTGTTTTGAGGCGCTGCTTGTGCTTCTTCTTGTCTAAGTGCTTTCCTCTTGGGCTTTTGAAGATTTGTTATCAGTTGCTTTATGAAAAGTATAAACCTAGGATAATGTTAGTTAGAAAAAGGTTAACTTTGCTTCAAATGAAGAATGTTTGAGGAGAAAACAAAAGCTACACCCTGAGTAACTTCTGGCATTGAGAGCAAGCTCTTTTGTAAACTTTTTACAAGTCTCTCATTCTGTTTCAAACTTGCCAGTTAATCGTGATTTTACGTTACATTTTCATCCGCAGTATTTATATTGCTTTAAGAAAATTGGGAGGGTTTAGTTTATGAAAGGGGGTAATAGGCTTATACCATTCCAGAAATCTATGTCATGTTGTTCTTTGTCCCTCTTTTTTCTTCTTAACATAAATGCAACTTATTTGTTCTCATTTTTTGTGGGTGTTTTTTTGTTGTTTACATGTAGAGAGAATAAGGTTACATTTGATAACATCTTGCCTGCAGCAGCGTAACCTTTGCCACACATTGCTGGAAGTGCATGCTAATGACTTTTAACAACAGTCTGCTATAAATCTGAGCAATGATAATCAGTAATACTTGGCAATAAAGAGGGTTAAATGCTTTTAGAAAAAAGCATTTTTTTTTTTTTAATTTATAGGGCTCAGCTGGCAAATGTATGGGGTTGTGGGAAATGTTTATGTTCATAGTTACCGTTTAAAAAAGTAAAATCTGTTTCTGCAGCTGTGAAGATAGGTCTTCTGTGGGCTATCACACTGCCATTCGGTCTGTAACGCTGCAAGTACTGCAGCAGCAGTTCTTGCAGAAAGTCTTCCTCAACAGTGGTGGACTTGATCCCTGTGCTGTACCCGGATTTATTTACAAATTCCTGGAGAGATCTGATTGAAATGCAGCTTTCTTCATTTGTTATATTTAAATTTCTTTTTCTAACAGTCTTGTGTGTATTCCAAAGTGTGCTGCTTTGGGATTTTCTTCCTGTGAATGCTCTAGGCTGCATTTGTGCTTCAAATGTAGTGAGATGTTTTCTCCCTGAATGCTGTATTGAAGTGTAATGTCCTAGAGAGACCAGCCTAGGATGAGGAAATCTGTCCCTGCTTTGCTGATGTTGCCAGGTTTAAAGTCCAATGGATTATTTTATTATTTTTTTAAGGATTTTCCTAGTTAAGGTTTAGTCTGCTTTTAGAATTTGCTGTCCTATGCTTAAGTCCTATGTCATTGCCACTGACAGAAAAAGTAAGCAACTCAAGGAAACAAGAATAGCCATAGCTAAGTGACACAGGCTTGTGAGGATGTTCTTAGATGTTTCTCTTGCCTTTTCTTTTTTAAGTAATAAATAAGGTGCAAAAATATCTATGGTATGTATACAAATAATTAAAAATACAAATGAATCTTCATCTTCAAATGATCAGCTGACCAAATCACTTCTAGTCCTTCAGTCTTCTGAGAAATATCTCTTCAATCTGAACGCCTTAGGGAAGTGTCTTCTGTGATGGGCCGACGAGACATGGACGCAGCATTATAATTCATTTAGTGGGGGACCACACAACTTGAGGAGGATACCCAGGGTGAGAGGGAGAAGTTAGGGACATAGAGGGCAGTGAGGAGCAGGCACAAGGGAGACGTGACTGAATTACAGACTGTTTTTCCACCTCTGCAAGTCTGTGGAGATGAGGTTGTGATTTTTCAACATAGGCTGCCCCAGGGACCTCAGGGCTCTTTGCCAGGTCCATGCAGAGGCAGTAACCGGTACTCAGGAGGGCATGTTTTCATCTGGGCTTAGCAATAGGCCTCCAAGCACCTGGCTGTAATGTTACACATAACTTAGCAAGCTTAGTACCGGTATATAGTGACTTTCCAGTGTTGGATGCTGAATATTACATAGGAGAGTGAGAATGGCCTCAGCAGATTGAGTCTTCATTTCAGTAAGATCACTGAAATGAACATTGGTTGTTCTTCTTTGATCTGTTGCAGGAAATACAGAGTTTGCTTACCAACTGGAAAGGGCCGGACCTCACAAGTTACGGGGAGCTGGTGTTAGAAGGAACATTTCGCATTCAGCGAGCCAAAAATGAGCGCACGTTGTTTCTCTTTGACAAGCTGCTGCTAATCACCAAAAAGAGAGATGAAATGTTTGCATACAAAGCTCACATACTGGTACGTCAGAGAACAGGTGGTAATGTGCTGTCTCCAGGTCTCCACAAAACTCCTCTGTGATTCATGTTGTTGCCTCTCTTTGTTACAGTGTGGGAACCTGATGCTTGTTGAAGTAATACCGAAGGAACCACTTAGCTTTAGTGTCTTCCACTACAAAAATCCCAAGATGCAACATACTGTCCAGGTATGACAGAAACCTCCCTGCACATTGGGTAGCCTGATTGATGATTATATGCTATTCCTGACCCTGCATAGTGCAGTAATGCATTTTCTCATGGTGCTACAATTATTTTATCAGGCAAAGTCGCAGCAAGACAAGCGCCTTTGGATTCTTCATTTGAAGAGGTTAATTCTAGAAAATCATCCTGCTAAAATTCCTGCCAAGGTAAAAATTAAAAAAAAAAAACACCCTACAACAAACCCAAACAAATAAACAAACAAACAAACCCCCCAAAACCACACCGAAAAACCCCACCCCACAAAATACTTCCTTGTATGTGTACTAACTTAAAGCAATCTTGTTACCGGCAAGATGCATGGCAATTCACAGAAAGTTTAGACTCCAGGAGGTTAATTAACGTGGTTCCTTATGTCTTTAAAAGTTCCTCAGATTCAATGGGAAAGTTCCACTATAAGTAACTACAGGGCTTGATAACAGGAGTAGAAGAATTTAGCTGGATTAGCAGCATTGGTGTCCATATTAGGATTTGCCTGCTAAGACACGAGTAACAGAGATGCAATGTCAGAAAGCTTGAGTATAAGAGCATACTTTAGCTTGATGCTGCCTGTCTGCACAACACTGAGGTGCACTAATTGCAGTATGCATAGACATTACCAATCTAATTGTAATCTCTCTTGGTTAGATATCGTAGCAGTGAAGCCACTGTCAGCACACACTTCACTTTACAAATAACATCCTGAGCCCTGCATCCTTAGCTAGGACTTCTAGGCCCTTTTTGGTGAGATAGATAGCAAGCTTTATGCCAGAGAAAATGAGGCACTGATACCATATTCATAGCTGTAATGTCTTGGAGCAGGGAAACCTGGTCCTTTTATTTATGAAATACTGTCTTAGAGCTCCAGGTGGTGTTTTCCAGTGTAACATGCTGCACCTCTCAAAGGGTGTTAACTCTAGTTAACTCTTGCTGTGATACAGCAGATGCTGACTCATGCGGAAGCAGGATTTTTTTTTTTCCACGGAGTTTACTCTTTTTTTTTTTTTTTCCAGTTTTTGTTTCACTGATCAGTTTCCCTGACTTTTTTTCGGCACTGAGTTTTATGCTGCAGTGGCTGAAAAATGTTACCTGTGATTGACGTACACGGTGCTGTACTAACTGTCATTTTCAACAGTTCAACTCAAGAGAGAGTTATGGCAGAGAAAAGCCCTAGCAGTTGCTATTACTAATTCTCCTCTTATCTTTTTCTTGACAGAGTTTATCAAAGGTTTATGCTAGTACACATGCTTACAATGTAAATACTCATTGCAGTTTATTAGGTTGTAAAAAAAAAATATAAAAAAAATACTACAGCATGATCTCAGCTTTTCTATCAAGATTTTTTTCTTACTACTTAATGGATTTTTTTTTTATCTGTGGGGAAAAATGTATAACCAAAAATATAATGCCATTTTCTGCTCAGAGAAATAATTTCACTTGAGAAAGGAAAAGTCTAACCAAATAAATGTCCGAGGTTGTCTACACATTTTATTTATTTTTTTTTTGTTGACGAAACGGTAATTGCTAGTTATGAGACTTCTCTCTGCCCAGCTTTTGGAGGTTTTCCTAGTAGTACACGTGTGACACCTGGTGGAAATTTACCGAACTGCACCTGTAGAAGGGCAAGTAGGTTACACAGGATATGTTATTTTCGTTCATTTTCTTACTTATTAGCAGATGTGTTTGATAAAATATCCAGATTATTTTTCCTGTTAAAAAAGATAACAAATTTCAGCAATCATGAGACACTTTTTATCCTGGTTCAATTGTGCATAAGCCAAATGATGATTTATTTTTCTTAATAGCTGTTCCTCAAGAGAATCCTTAAAGAAGCAAGGTTGACAGTTTTCTGTGACAACAACTTCAGAGTTGAAAAATAATAAAGGAGTTAAACTATTTGATTTTTAGGGAGGAAATAGTCTGTGAATCACAAAAAAAAAAAAAATTGATTCCCACATACTAGGGCCAGTTTTGTGCCAATCCCAGTGTAATACGGAGACGTGTATCAATGGTTTTGAATTCTGGGACTTGCGGAGAGATCTCTGGAAGTTTGAATCTCCGTGGAGGAGGCTCAGCGTGTGCTGCATAATCTCAGCATAGCACAGCCCCTTATCTCTGAAGCCAAAGTAGTTTTTGCGGTCAGATGTGCCATCACTGTATCTTCCAAAAATCCCTGCACCAGTGGGTGCCATAGGTACACCCTCCTCCCCTTGCACAGCCGGAAGGGAGGTGGGCACGCAAGGTGGAGCTGCTGGGTGCAGTGAACAACAGGGGGTTTTGCGTGAAGCCCTGAAGATAAGCTCTGGTAAGCTGCTGACAGCAAAGTTGTTCTTCACATATGTAATTTGGCCAACGCACAGAGAAATACAAAAAATAACTCTGCTAACCATATTTATTAGTTAAAAAATTAAACTTGCTGTTGTTTACATATAAGTTCACTACTATCTGTAGTATGCAATGTGGTTTGTCCTTCTACTTATAGTTTAACTTTTTCATTTGTTGCTTTCTCTCTTTCAGGCAAAGCAGGCAATTCTAGAAATGGATGCCATACGTAAGTTGGTTCTTTTTCACTTTTGTTTTGAAAAATGAATAAAACCATCTTCAAGAGTTTGGCTTTAACTGTTGATTTGATCTGAGATGGAAGAAGGCCAGGCTTACGTTCCTTGAATTATGACCTTCCTGGAAAACCCAAAATTGGGTGTAGGTCCTTTGGAGCTCTGTAGGCATTGGGCTGACTGATCTGCGACCAACAGGTTATGTCTCATGATGAGCAAGGAAGAAGCAGATAAGACCTTCTGTAAACACCAGCCATTCTCTTTTGCTTACTCCATGCTGACTAAACGTATGATCTTTCCTGTATTGTATCATAAGCTCCTTCTGGCTAGTACCCACTGAAGGGCTAGCAATAAGCAAATGCAGCTTGAAGAAGTCTGTAGCAGTGTTTTGACTTCTTTGTGCTGGCAAACCTGCAGCTGGTGGTCAGGAAGGCTTGTGCTCGTGTCTGAAGAGTTTACCTGTGTGTACCAGGAGCCAGCATTATAAAGCACATGTGATGCTGCTGTCTGTGCTCTAAGTGCAGTCCCATCTGCATGGGCCCTGCTGGTGCATCTTCTGCTTGCTGCCTTTGCTGGTGCAAGCTGCATTAGCTCTTCATATTGCCAGTGATCCCTAGCAGCGTAGAGAAATGAGCTGAGTAGTCCTATGATATAAATGCTGAGCAAGTCTTGGAGTAAAGC